AATTATCACAACAACAAAACTAAATGCTTTATAATTAGTTGCAAAATCAAACCCAATGTAATATTATAGGAAGAGGCAAATAAATAATAATAATTAACAATTTATAAAATGATTTGTTGTGGTTATTTATAGGCGCTCACAAATGAAATAAAATATGGAGAGAATATAAGTAGAGCCCATATCAAGGTGCAGACCCACAAAACCAAAGCTTTATTATCTGCCCAACTTAGTCTTATCTTAATCCCATTCACGATTCACTAAGCGTCTGCGTCCACATATAAAACTGTCAAAAAACAAGAACAAAAAACAAGAACACAAGAAAAAAGCTGACAACATTCTTGTCGAGTTTTGTCTATAACAAAATTTTTTTGTCGAACTTGCGGTTTGATTTAGGCAAGAAGACAATGCCGATAAGTCGACTGTGCGTGTGTGTGTGTGTGTGTAAGTGTGTGTTGATATCGGCGACACAAAATTCAGTTAATGCTTTGATTTATTTAATATATAACACAATTTTTGAGGGTTTTTCCATATTTGAGTTGGGCCCGCGTTCCAAAAGACAAAAGTCACTTGTAAATCCATCCAAATGGAATAAAATAGATGAAGCTGATTATGATTCTGACTAAGGCGTCTACTATATAGCCATATGGCACACACACGCACACACACACACACGCACTCGCACACGTACAGAGTTGAGGAATTTGTTGTGCGGCAGATAAATAATAATTACACTCACACGACATAATCAATTATGCCTGCTAATAAATGCCGCGGGACACATGTAGTCCATCAATATGTGACTTGTCTGTATGTGTGTGTGTGTGTATGTGTGTGTGTATGTGTGTGTGTGTGTTATCCACAAATGTGCGTTGCACTAATCACGCCAGCATGTTCATAATCAATTTTATCGCACTTATTTGGATTAATTGCGATATCAATGACAGCCTGGCAAAGGGCGGAGACAAAGGGGGGCGGGCGGGGCAGAGGGGGGCAGGGCGAAGACGTCAGCGTCGCAGTCATCAGACCCAATTCCGATAAAAAAGAAAAAAAAGTGACGAGTAATCTAGAAGGGCGTGACAGACTGGGAGATACCCTAGCCCAGCGCAGAGATAGAAATTAAAAGTATTTTGACTTTCTTCTCTGCAAACACATACACACACACACATATACACACATATATACTCACACACAGCGACCGCGCTTCTTCTGCCCTTTGCCTCTCACTTTAAGAAAAACTATCTCAAGTATCTCCGTTGTTTATAGTCCAATCGCTATGAAATTTTCAGTGCTTAACTATGGTACACAAGTATGTCGATTTACCAAGATTCAAGGCTCTAGCTTGAAAAATACGTATTTTTCCCAATTTCGGTGGGATGTGCGAGACTTATTGAAAAACTAAAATATTATTTACCAGTGTATAAAAAGCAAGAGCTTACATACCAAATATGCTGTATCTAGCTCTTATAATATTCGAGCTATGCCTTAAATCGATATTTATCGATAATATAATATATATATATATATATTGGTAGATATAGAGAAATGGCAGATATTTAGATATCGCAAGAAAATTATAATCTTAACTAGCTCTTAAAAGACAACGTTGCGTTTTCAGCTATGTTTAAAAGATTCTCGCTCAGAATCGATATTTATCGACAGGATATCGAGACACATATGGGGATAAGTCCCGAAAACGAGATACTTATCTAGCTCTTATAAGAACTTGTCGAGTTTTCATAAGCCATATTTAAGAAATGGAACATATCTGCATACCTTCTTCGATGTCTTCCTCTTCCTCTAGCTCTTATAAGACCTAGTCGAGTTTCGATAAATGTTTATAAGACCATCGATATTTATCGACATTACAGAAATCGAAGAAGTCATGGATGTATCGGAATATAAGACCATCGATAATTATCGATATTACAGAAATCAAAGATGTCGAGGAAGTTATGGAGATACGGCAATATGCTTAGATTATCGAAGATTATCGATATTTAACGACCTTACAGAAATCGAAGATATCGAGGAGGAGACGGAGACTTTGCTTGACAAATTCTCGAGTCTCTATCTCCTTTCCTAGTGAATGACTTGCCTAGAGCTTCTCGCTCCACATCCTGGTCTGAATGTGCCCAGAGATGCCTCCTGCTGCCTGTTTCATTTGCATTTGCATTTGTCCCCAAATCCAATTCCATCCTTTTGCCCATTTTCAATGATAAAGCTGATGACGCGCTGCGAGCAAAAGTCAAATATGAACAGTTACAGTTACATCGTGTTATCGCCAGTTATCGTGCCCATATCTAAGTCGGGCGAGGTGGGGGAAAGAGGGAGCGGGGGGGCGTGTAGGTGTGCCGTTGTCAACACCTTATGCCCAAATTAGCAAAAGTCGGCGACGCACCCAGCACAGAGGATTATCTTATCTGGCTGAGCTAAAAGCTTTTGCAGTCCCACAGAGCATGGATATCGTCACCTCAGAGGGGGGGGGGGGGGCGTAGAGGGGGGAGGGAACATTACAAGAGGCAATTAGCCAAGAGGCCGCCGCATGGTTAAGCATACAGAAAAAAAACAATATTTACACCAGCTGGAAAAGCAAAGCGCTTATCGTGCTCCAATCTAAAATCTCCAATCTGCAGTCGGAACTCGAAACTCGGTAAAGCGGCGCCGATAAGGATTATCTCTTAATCTGCATAAATAGCGAAAAATTCTCGCACATGGAGCTCTCTTCTATTTTTTTATCACAAATGAACCCGATTCAGTGCACGGCATTTGTGTGTGTGTGTGTATGCCCTAACTAAAAGTTGGTCGACTTTGGGGTTCGAGTCCCCGGGCAGAAAAATCGGTTTAAAGAGAATAGTTGAAAAGCACGTAAAGTCTATGCTGAACATGAATGAAATGAGAATTATATGAAAATTATTTCCAATTCACTTGGAATTCCCTTCCCACTACAGATCCAGCAGATCAGATCAATTATATATCCGACAAATCTGTTTAAAGATAACTGTGTAAGAGCAGGTAGAATCTATTCTTATTGGAAAATATAAAAGTGTTTATATGAAAATCATTTCCTACTCTCATTTTTGTCATTTTTTTAAAGCCTTGGAAGACCTGGAAGACTCATAGATCCAGCAGATCAATTATGTATCAGATCCAGCTTTAAGATGCATTATACAATTAATTTATATATATCTCAGCTCACGAATATAATTATATATTGCTTTCAAATTTCCATAGAACATTTTTGAAACCATTTACTGTTTAAAGACATGAAAAAACCTACTCCTAACTCCGAAAAATGTATAAAAAAAAATTTAAAACATGCCGAAATAATTTAAGTTAATAATATCTTTAAGGAAACTCTGGACATGTTGCATGGATATATCATTCATAACCTTAAGTAAAAAGTCAAGAAATATAATACAAATTTTTCATTAGATATCAGCCTTAGATATAAAACCCTCCAAGCACCTAAAATTTTATAAAAAATTCGAATGGTGACAAATTTAAAGTGAATTACTTGGAAAAACTTGGAAAAACTTGACATTTCTTATGCAGCTAAAATTTTTAAAGCTTGCAAGTCGAGAAATATTTCACTCTAGTTTTTTAAGTAGATATCAACCTTAAATCTACTTGCTATCAACGAATAGGTTTTATATGCCAGACTATATATATAAAAAATCTTAATTTCGTCTGATATGAAGTGTTATTTATGGGTCTTCCTATTTTCAATAGAATTATAATACTAGTTTTATATGTAGATATCTCCCAAGATAATGCCTGCTATCAACGAATAGCTGCTGGCCCTTCTCTAAGGGCTTAAGTTCATCTCGTATGCAATGCGATTCATGGGTTTACCCTATTTCGGATAGGGTATACAAGCTGCGGTGCTTAACTGTTGGCATTTCGAGCATTTTGTTTATTTGCACTGATTCACTTTGTTGTCGCAGAGACGGAAGAGTGGAAGCGGGGCCTTTTGAAGTTGAACGGTGACTAATGCACGTAGAACCCATTGAAATAGTTCACGGCTAAATCCGAGAATAAACCATCAAAATGACGCCCAGCTAAATGTGAAGCGTATTAAAATTACAAGGGAGAAAGGTAGCAGGGAATAATAGATAATAGATGGAATGTTACGAGATTCGATCTGAATATTTAACGTTATTATTTTCATTCAAAATCTGCCCGCTTTTTGGACAATAATTGAATTGTTGTCGGTAAAACGTTGACAGTTAAGTATTACGTGTATCTCTATGTCTGTTTAGCTTAGAGGGATATGAATCAGATAGGTTATTATCAGTTTATAGAGGGTATTCGAAGTTCAGAAGTCATAACCGACCCTAAAGAGTATACATATATATTCCTTATCAAATACATGAAGCCAGGCTCCTCACACACTTAAAGCTATCCCCGTGAAACTTGGATTGGATTTGATTATCTATTGTAAGTTTTATACTTCTCGGAATCGAAAGCATCGGAGCACTACATCATATAGTTATCATAGGAATATTCAGTCGAAAATTAAGTAAATGTAGGAAAAGCTTTGGTACACTAAACTTTGGTTAGAATATTCGGATTAGGATATCTATGTCAAGCCTTATATATGTCGTAATCGGATACATCGGAGCACTATATCTTATATCTCTCATAGAAATAATTGGTCGCAAATTAAGTCCAATGTATGAAAAACTTTCGTTAGCTGAACCTTTCGACAAAAAGCTTGGGTTAGTTTTTTTGGGATAATCTGTCTGCTGGCGCCTTATATATGTCGGAATCGGATACATCGGACCGCTATATCATATAGCTGTCATAGGAATAATCATCCGAAATTAAGTTGAAAAACTTTCGTGAAATAAACCTCTCGATAAAAAGTTTCAGCTACTTAGAAAAACTTTGAGCCTGGCTTTGAGTAGTTCAGCTGCCTCTCAGAGGACTCTACCAGGATTATAAAATGCACATATCTATCTATATATATATCTATATATATATATATATATAGAACTCACCTGCTGTCCGGCATTTGCGGCCACCCAGGCCTCGGCGAAGGTTTCCATAGCGCTTTGAAAGTCCATCGTGGAACGCGTTCGATTGTTTCAAATTTGTTGTGAATTCAAGTTCAACTATTTGTTAGTTTTTATATATATATATATGTATATGCACTGGGCTGATAATGTGAGTGGGCGTGGCAGATGGTTTGGCATTAATTGGTCTTGGTCTTGGTTGGTTTTTTGATTGGAAACGTATTGCATCAATTATTGTAATTTCGCGATAAGGCGGCCCTAAAGCACGCTTTGATTTCTCGAGAGCGAGCCAACTTAATGGCCAAAGCAAATTAGACGAACACACACCTGAACACACCTGAACTGAACACCTGAGAGCTCACGACGCGGCGACGCGACTTGCAACGGCGTAAACGGCGGCAACTGCGTTTGGCGGAACGGATTCGTTGAGGCTGCCGCAGCGACTGCGGCTGTGGCTGTGGCACGGCGGCTCAGCGCGACGCGACATCATTAGCACGGGCGCGGATACGCCATGAAAAACTTTGTAATATGGTGGGCGTGGCAGCGTGTCAAAAGTCAAGTTAGCGTACAGCGCACAAAGAGATCCTCGCAAAACACAATTACGGCTCGAGCTGCCAATGAAGACTGACTCCGATTCTCCGTTTCTCCGATTCTCAAACGTTTCTCAAATTCTCTGATAAGCGCAGCCTGTTGTGCCGTTTGTTTACCTTGGTTTGCTCTCTCTCTCTCTCTCTTTTTATTTGGCTTGCATAAATATTTAGCTTGGAAATTGTGTCCAACAATTGTGACGAGTGTATTCGAGTGCTCTGCTCTGGAACGGACGCGCGTCAAGACATCCTTTCACAGCACAAGTTGTCGCACAACTGACACATTCTTTCGCATTCGCACTGCCCGACCCGAAACCCGACGACCGACAACCCGACCGACCCGACACCCGCCCCCGCCCCCCCCCCCGACAACGAGCACGACCCGGCCGGCATCGGGCTATGCAGCCGCGTGCCGCACGACGCGATGTTCTTCGCATTCGTCTCTGTTTCATTTGCTGCTGCTGCTGCTGGCTGACGTTTGCATTTGTGTGCGTTACAATGCCTCTCCCTCTCTCTTGCTCTCGCTCTCTCTCGCTCTGCCACGCTCTCGCTCTCTCTGTCAGTCGCTCTCTTGCGTTTTTCAAATAGTAGCAGCACTGCAAAATAGTATAAACTGTTTTATTTTAGCTTGGGATTATCAGAGTTATGCTATAAATAATGAATTGTTATTTTTATGCACATTATTTGAGGGACTTTGCGCGTGAAAAAGCTTTCTTTAAAACTCAAATACAGTTATTCTGAGAACTATAGAATTCTGTGAAAATTGTTATTTGAACAGTTTTTGGTAAAGATTCTTTATGATTTGGATCAATTATTGCCAGAATAGCCCAGACAAAGGCTGTGTTTGATAAGGTTTAAAAAGGTAAAGTAAAGTATGATCCTAACTGAAATAATTCTAGACGATTTGTACAGACATATGTATGTATGTAAACCTAACAGATATATGTACTCCTTACAGACATATCTAATCCTAGACTACGTCAAAAGCTTCCTTCTTGATAAGTTTTTTTTTATATTATTTGTGGATTATTATTTTAATAGAACAAACTGTTTGCATGTGCCTGATATTTTCTGGATTATAAGAGTTAAATAGGTACATATGTATGTTGCCTAAAATAATGTTATAGTGAAATATCTGTGGAATCTTATGGGATGTTGATGAGGAATTCCAAAGTACACCCCACAAAATCCTTAAAAAAATTAATAATTTAGTTAATGCTTTAAAATTATTACATAAAACAGAACCTAAATATAATAATACAAATTAATAGAAATATTAAACCAATATTAAAATGTAAAAACATTTGTTAAACAATAGTAAAGTCTATTGAAATTCCATAAAACAAGCATTTGTGCCTTACAACAAAAAAAAGGTAGTAGAAATAGTAGTATTTTGCTCAGAGAGCGTAGGCATTTGCCCGTGTGTGTGTGCATGTGACCAAAACAAAACACGCACACAACGACACCAACGAGAGCGAGCGAAAGAGAGAGCGAGCGCAAGAGAGCCACCTCTCACACATACACACACACGCACGAACTGGGGTAAACCTGTTCCGGCGCAGAATTGCACTTGTCTCGCGACAGGCTCGCCAACGCCCCACCCCAGCCCGCCCCCCACCCCCAACCCGACATGAACGACTTCCCTTCGGCTGCGCGTTTTCTTTTACTTTTTGTGCGCTGTAGCGAAATTCAATGGATTTGCCGCAAATTCGGGTGGAATTATGCCACACACACACACACACACACACACACACATATAAGTGAGCTATTGTTGAGAGTGGGCGTGGGCGTGAGCCACTCGTACAGCGACGGCTAAGCGGGCAGCGTGCGCGCGAGTGCGAGTGCGAGCGATGCGGGAATAGATTCGCGCGCCTTTGCCCGACTGGGATGAAAGAGTAAATCGGCAGCGCTTATTATTATTATGTCGTTATGGGGAGCCGAGCCGCAGAGGCAGAGGCGGGCGCAGTAGCAACACCCACTCCGCATTTAGCACCTCGACGAATGGAAATGGATGGCGGCGACAGTGTGCGCGCGTGTGTTTGTGTGTGAGTGAGTGAGTGTCCGTGTTCGTGCCTTTGACACGAAGTGACCACTTGACGGAGACGCAGATAAGAGCGCAGATAATGCGCGCGCATTACATGTGATTAGGTGTTCGGCGAGCTGGGTTTAGCCAACCGCCGCGAAGGAACCAACCAGGCCCCGAGTACATGGTACATAGCCAGCTGTCCAGGATACATACGCCACGGTAAATGGGTCGTCCTCCATTGGGTGGAGTTACCAAGCACGCAAAAGCAGTTATTGCATTATAATTACTCGCAGCTGCCAGCCCTAACGGGACTCGTTGCAACCAAATTAATTAGTTTTAAAAAACCATTTTTGATAAAACATAATTTATACATAGGTATATGTATATAACCGCTCTCTAAAGGTAGTCGTTTTAGGGGTGGGGGGAGGTGTGCAGTATTTTGCAATTGGTGGAGATTAAGAGCCGCAAAAAAAACTCGGCAAATTTTATCATCATTCTTATCCGTCTTCCTGCTAAAAATGCCATGTGCGCTCTCCCTCTCTCACTCTCTCGTCGTTCACACACACACACACGCATAGCCATGCACACACACACACACGCTCGAAAACATACCCATGCACTCTCGCATATGCTCGGGCAGCTCTCGCTCTCTCCCTTTCGCTCTTGCACGAGCGTGCCAGAGCGAGATAACCCATAAAAATTTCGAGCAAAAGCAAAGATGAGCAAAGCGTAAACGCAAACGAAAAACAGCAAAGCGTGCTGCAACAACAGCAACAACAACAAGAACAGCTAGCAGCAGCAACATCAGCAAAAATATCACAAAATAAACATAAAAAGCGCCGGCGAAACCAGTTCGGATAGACTCCGCCCTCGGCGTACGCTGATTGGCTAAGCTTTTGCTTTGCCCAAGACTTCATCTTTTTTTTTTGTTATGTGCGCTTTGCTCCGTGTATGTTGCTGTTGTTGTTGTTCTTAGTTGTTGTTTCTTTGTTGGCTGCGGTTTTATCGCCTCCAACGACAGCGACGTCGGCGTCTTGCCACTTAGTTAACAGCCTCGCAGCAGCCCCTCACCCCGCCCAGACTCTTGGGGGTGGGCTTTACCAGAATTTCAAGCCCCAAAATCTTTGCTGTTCTTTGAAATTTTGTAAATGTGCACATATTTACATATAAAAGCGGAGCATGTACGAATATAGCTTATTATGCACGGGTACCTCGGGCTAGACAAAGATTGGGGGTAAAAGTACGTTACGTTTTTATGGTACCCAAATGAAAATGTGTAAAATATATGTCTATAATAATATTTATATCTATGCCACAAAAACTAATCTTTTTCAACTTAATTAATAATGAGAAGTAAATGACAGATTTTAGCAGAAAATAAATATATTTCATAAGAAATGTTTTTAATTGCATTTTAACTAGAATATTTACCAACAAAATTGCAAACAACTTTGTTTGAGACATTTAAAAAATTAGAAAATATAGATTAATTAAGTTAAACAAATAAATTTAAATTTAGGATATTTACCAACAAAATAGCAAACAACTTTGTTTACGAAATTCAAGAAATTAAATCTTTAAATTAATAATATTAATAATAATATATTTATAAATTTTTTTTATTACAAAAAACAAAAGCATGAATTAAATATTATTAAGCATGTTTTCAAAGGATGTTTAAAACAACAAACATTCTACACTCGAAAAAATTGTTACACCAATTTATTAGTCTTAATTACAGCCAATTTTCTTGACCAAAAATAAATTAAGAACTGATTTATTTATTAGATATTTGCATTTAAAAATGATAATATGCAAGCAGCAATTATTTTAATACGCCAAGGACTAAAAATAAAATATAAAAAAAAAACGATTGCGAAAGGACTTGACATGCTGTGAAGCCCGCCAAGGGAAAATCAATAATTTTATTAAAGTTCTTGGCTGCCGGCTGCTGTGCTTTTCTTTTTTGCTATAGACTGGAACAGGGGGGGGGGGGGAGGGACAGGGGGGGCGGCGGCGACATAGAATATAACGTGTGGAAATTTTCAACAACAAACATGGCAAATGGACCGCAGGCGAACCTGCTGCTACCCCCCCCCCCTCCCCCTCTGGCCACTTGGGTGGGGGGGACGTCCACTTATTATTGTTATTACTCAATGTGCCAACATTCAGCCGCGTAAACGGTCGTTGCCGTCGTTGCCGCGTCAGAGTCCTGCCACGTACAGGGTACACATAATGCCAGCAGGACTCGTCATCATCATCATCAACAACATGATGATGATGATCATCAGCGTTGCCGTTGTCGGCTGGCATCATAATGACAAAAGGACATTCATTAAGTTTTTGATTTCTGATTTGATTGTTGATTAAACCGCCCAACCCCAAACTAGCCGGGCCTGGTGGGTAATGGTTATAATGGCTGAGAAGGATACGAAAGCGACACCAGGCGGGTGGAAGCTGGGGGAAGCAGAGGGAGCAACTGTGGCATTGTCCTCTCTATCGTGCTGAGCACTTCCGGCGCAGAGCGTCAACTTGACATTTCCGCCTTTTTTTTCGGGCTGATGTCTCTGCGCCACCCAGGCTGGTGTTGCTGTGGCTTATCACCCGGCGTCGTCGTCCTGCCAGCACACACACACACACACACACACACATGCATGTATATATGTATATATACCCTATATAAAGCACATAGCGCGGCGAGACGTCGTCTTGCTTTTTGGCCAACAGCCAACCAGTTCGTGTTGCCAGCATTTTGATTAAAGCCACAGCCAAAGCATATGTGTGTACGTGTGTGTGTGTGTGTGCGTGTGTGTGTGGCAGCATTATCCTTGCTGTGGATCTGTGTGCATTTCGTACATAGCCGAACTGAAGTGCTGCCATTCGCTTGGCTCAAGTATTGACATTGCCAATGTTGCCCCAGGCAAAAGGGGAGGTAGGGAGGGGTGCGGGTTGCGGGGAGGGGTGTCGCCTGGCGGTGCCATTGGGGAGCTCTTCTCAGCCGAACAAGCTCGTTGCAAGCGGCAAGCAAATGCGCCTGCGCTAATTTTTGGGTTTTACTTGATTTTTATTTCGCAGCGCTTTATGCCCCTTTTTTTTCGAGTGTATTTGTACATAAGGAATAACAGTATATAGTATATATATTGGGGCGTAAATAAAATTTGGGGAATATGCTGTAAAATGGAGCTAAACGAGTTTATATTTTAATTACACGCAACATTTTAGAGAGATTTTTATATAAAGTCAACTAATCCAGCATAAAATTCGAATAATACCAAATATTGGGTCTAAATGT